CATCTGACTCCAGCCACAGCCTACCCAGATCCGTGGCCCCATGTCCTGACCCATGCTACCCTCCACCTCTGCCTGAAATGGTTTGTCATTTTGATTAAGTGAATAAAATATTCAGTGACCTATGATCATATTTGACCAGGTGTTTTTTAATATAAACTTTGATATTTTTGACACACTTCTTATCAAATTCTAATTAAAATTCTTTTGACCTTCAGCTAACTTTGGGATGATTCAGAGGGCACCTAAGGCACCTCAGAGAGAAATACTTAACTAGAATTGTTTGATATGTTAAATTACATGGGAAGCATTGTCAAATGAGTGACAAGCCTACTCAGATTATACTGTATGGGTAAATGTTATTAATACAGAAATTCTAGAAATTATATAAAGTTCCTGAAATTTGGAAATGTCCCGGTATAATGCTATCAGTCAATTCTAGTTATCTTAAAATGTTTGTATAGCACAGAAACTTGGCTAAGCTTCTTTGTCGAAAACATTGTAATTAGATTTTTAACCTTTGCCTTTAAGTCTTTTGTCATTTCACAGACAGTTAAGCTGATGCTTTGCAAAAATGCTTCATCTTCAAGAAGATTCATAGAAAGGACAGTACCTGACAGGTATAGGTTTCTGATAACTTTCAGATGCTGCTGAACTGGGTAAGAAATTTAGAAAGTTTATTAAGAACTGATTTCATGAAATTTAAGTTAGCGAAAAGGGTTAGTTATATGGAATTGGCTAAACTGATGAATGTGATTATAATTTTTTGGCTTTGCCTGAAATATTACTGGCTAATTATAATGTCTGACTTCACTTAGTATGAAATTCTCTAGGTCCATCCACGTTGCTGCAAATGGCAATGTTTCGTTCTTTTTTATGGATGAGTAATATTCTATCATTAATATGTGTGTGTGTGTGTGTGTATGCCACATATTCCTAAACCAGTTGTCTATTGATGGGCACTTGTGTTGTTTCCATGTCTTGGCTATTGTAAATAGTGCTTCTATGAACACTGGGGTGCATGACTTTTTGTGGGGTTGTATATTTTTATTGAAGTATAGTCCGTTTACAATGTTGTGTCAGTTTCTGGTGTGCAGTATAATGTAGCAGTCCATTGGATATATACACTACATCTTTATCTGATCACCTGCCAACGGACATACATTTAGGTTGCTTCCATGTCTTGGCGATTGTAAACAGTGCTGCTGTGAACACTGGGGTGCATGAACTTTCAGTATTTTTTTTTAAGAGTAGGTTTAGTATTGCTAAATTTTTTAGTTTTTGCATATCTGAGACATTCTTTCTCTCTGCATCTAAATGATATGTTGCAGGTTTTTCCTTTTCAGAACTTTGAGTATGTCATGCGCCTCCCTTTTGGCTTGCAAAGTTTCTGCAGAGAAATCAGCTGATACTTATGGGGGTTCCTCTGTATGTGACTTTTTCTCTCGCTGCCTTTTAGAACCTTTAACTTTTGCCATTTTAATTACAATATGGCTTGATGTGAATTTGTTTGGGTTCGTGTTGTTTGCGACTCTCTGTGCTTCCTGTACCTATATATCTATTTCCTTCTTTAGGTTTGGGAAATCTTTAGCCATAATTTCTTCAAATACATTGCAGATCCCCTTTTCTTGCTTCTCCTTCTGGAGTCCCTGTTATGCGTAGCATGCTTTATATTACCCCATCGATCTTGTAAGTGCCTTTCATTTTTTTCCCCCCATTTTCAGCCTGCTGTTCTGATCAGGTGATTTCCATTATTCTACTTTCTAGATCACTTATTTCTTCTTCTGTGTCATTTAGTTTGCTATTCATCGCTTGTAGGTTGGTTCATCTTTATAGTTTCTAGTTCCTTATGACAGTGATCTGCATTCTTTAATTCCTTTAGCATTCTTATTACCTCCTTTTTGAACTCGGGGTCTAGTAGAATGGTGAGGTCTCTTTCATTATTTGTTCTCTGAGGGGATTTCTTTTGTTATTCTAATTGGGACTAAGTTCCTCTGCTTTTGCATTTTAGCTAACATTTTCTAAACTCATACAGTGACAGTTATCTACTACGGTCTTGAAGGGCTGTTTTGACGTGGAAGTGTCCCTGCGTAGACTCAGTCTGTTATTTTCGGTGTGAGGGCTGGTTTTGGTATGGGTTTCAGCTGGCCCGTTGACAGTGGTTGTGCTTGGTGTTGTGTCCAGAGCCTGCACTTGACGAGGGGCGGGGCCTTCTTTGTTCCATGGATGTCACCACCTTGTTGTGGGCAGGGCCTGCTCCCCAGTTGTTTGTTGGCGTAAAAGCCCTGAGAGCGTGTGCCCTGCCCCAAAGGACATGACTGCTGAAGCACGTGAGGCCTGTGTGGTCACAGTGAACTAAGCGCTGCCTCTGCAGGTGTCGTGTCTGTGGTTCTGCCCAGCAGCAGCCCAGGGTCACATCCCTTTCTCCACTGTGTTTGTCCCAGATCTAGTGCTAGGCTGTGGTGTGGCACAGGTTGGAGCTGGGGGCCAGGGGCCTGTAACTGCAAGCATTGAGGTGGCTGTGCTGCCGCCTGGAACCTGGGCTGCCTCTGTGCCAGACCTCTCTCCCAGGGCCTGTCCACCCCAGTTCCAGCTCCAAGCTGTGATGTGGAGTGAGCAGAGCTGGAGTGCTCCCACAGGAAGACAGCCCACTAAGTACTTCTGCCCAGGGCCTGTCTGCCTGACACTTAGCGCCTAGCCACTCTGGGTGGCTGTGGTACCACAGTGTGTGCCCTGACAAAGTCTGCTCTGACCAGGCTTGCCCCTGCCATACGATGGTGGGTCCACGGCCACCCTTGCTGTGTGAGCACTGACAATGGGCTCCGTGCTTCCCCCTGGACCTCACCCTAGGCCCTCTGGGCTGTCTCTGCGCAGCTAGATCGAGTTTTCTCCCAGGAACTGTCTGCCTGAGATTCAGTGCCCTTTGCTGCTGAGTGTATCTGTGGCACAGCCCAGTGCCAGTGCTGACAGCATCTGCTCAGTTTGACCCACCACCCCTTACATGTGCTGGCAACATGGTTTGGCCCAGATCACACTGCAGTTACCCTGGTCTGTCTCTGCAGACAGACCAGATCTCTGCCCTGATCTCGTGCCAGGCTGTGGCAAGACTGGGACATTCGCCCCTTTGGATTAGGAAGCACGGTGATGTGGCAGCCACCAGCTCTGGTCTCGCTCCGCCCTGACTGTCAGCAAACCAGCGCGCATGCACTCCTGGTGAGTAGAGTCTAGGCTTCTCCAGCCTCTCTGTCCCCACAGATTTCCCAGCAGACAAGGGGGCTGTCCAGGGCGAGGTTCTGCCTGTGTGAAACTTCTCTCCTTTCCAGGGGTGCCAATCCCACTCTGATGCCTTCCTACCCAGTTAAGTGGAGATTTTTCTTGCAGCTTTGGTTTTATAAGATATCTTCAGCCAGTTTTCAGTTGTTTTCCATGAGAATTGTTCCACATATGTATTTTTGATGTGTTTGTTGGGAGGGAGTTGAGCTCCATGTCTTCCTGCTCTACCATCTTGATCCCCCTCCGTCTCTACTGTCTGACAAAGGAGGCAAGTACACACATTTATTGACCTAAGTGTGTGGGTTTATTTCCAGGTTCTCCATTCAGCTCCATTGATCTATATGGATGTCTGTTTTTGTGCCAATATCATGCTGTTTTGATTGCTGTAGTTTTGTAGTATTACCTTAAGTCTGCAAAGGTTATGCCTCCAGCTTTGTTCTCTTCCTCAGGATTGCTCTGGCAATTCTTTTTTTTTTTCTGATTCCATATAAGTTTTAGGATTTATTTTAGTTCTGTGAAAAGATGTCATGGGTATTTTGATAGGGGTTGCATTAAGTTTGTAGGTTGTTTTGGGTACTATAGCCATTTTAACAATATTAATTCTTCCAATCCAAGAGCATGGGAGATGTTTCCATATCTTTGAATTATCTTCATTTTCCTTTATCAATGTTTTATAGTTCTCAGCGTGTAGGTCTTTCAACTCCTTGGTTAAATTTATTTCTAAGCATTTTACTGAAAAAGTATATTGTTAAGTGCACCTGGCTGGCTTTGTTTTCTTCTGCGAGGGCGTGATGGGAAAGAACGCTCCTACTGCAATTTGGTATCACTGCCTTGATTTGGGCCAAGGCATCAGCCATTTTACTCACCATTGCTTGTGTATCAGTGAAAATGTAACACTGTGAAAAAGACAAATAATGTCTCAGTAGTTTTGTGAAAATAATTTTGACCTTGCAGACCTCCTGAAAATGTCTCAGCAACTTCCAGGTGTCTGGGGGCCATACCATGAAATCACGGATACGGTAACTGAAAAGCCTAGGCCCCTGACCAAGGTGGGACGGAAGAGAGCCACCTGGAAACTTCCCACTGAGTAGGGCCAGTCATGGACAGACGACCATCAGAATGGAAACTGATTTTGGCTTACGTGGAAAAAGACTGAATGGATGTTGGGTCGCTCACAGAATCAGCAGGAGGCCTGCAGAGCCAGACCTGTAAGTTGGACAGAAATAGTTAAAAAGAGGCTGTATGTTCAGAACCTGGTCCAACATCTCACCTGAAGGCAGGTGAGGGGGCAATACCATTTTGCCACTGTAGCTGCTACAGACATGGCATGTTGCATCTTGTATCCTGATAGCCCAGCCCTGGTCCCAGGAGGCTGCTGCCATGTTGTCATCCTCACTCTTGTCACCCGGAGAGACCTTGACTCAGCCCCTGAATGAATTTCTGATTGGCTGAGCCTGGGTCACTTGCCTCACCTCTAGCTTCTCAGTAAGCTGGGGAAGCCTTATCACCTGACATCTCCAGCTCCTCTGGCAGAGTGCAGCTCTGCTTCCCACCAAGACTTATAAGAAGGGGAATTCTCCATGAGTAGGGAAGAGTTTGGATGTACAAAGCAGCCAAAAATGACAAACGCTGAGCCCATTTCATCTGGAGCCAGAGATCTGGGAGTAGTCAGTCAAGCGTTGACCACTGGAGAGATGGCAAAGATATTTCCAAAGACGAGCGCATTTTAAAAAAATGAGGTAGAGTTGATTTACAATGTTATATAAGCGTCAGGTGTACAATATAGTGATTCACAATTTTTAAAGGTTATACTCCATTTATAGTCATTATAAAATACTGGCTCTACTCCCTGTGCTGTTACAATATATCCTTGTCACCTGTTTTGCACATAGTGGTTTGTACCTCTTAATCCCCTACCTGCACACCTTGCCCTTCCCCTTTTCTCTCCCCACTGGTAACCACTTATTTGTTCTATATCTGTGAGTCTGCTTTCATTATATTCACAAGTTTATTTTTTAGATTCCACATAAGTGATACTATACAATATTCTCTTTGACTTATTTCACTAAGCATAATACCCTCCAAGTCTATCCATGTTGTTGCAAATGGCAAAATTTTACTTTTATGGCTGAGTACTATTCCATTGTGTATACACCTTCCCCCCATACACTTCTTTATCTGTCTATTGATGGGCACTTAGGTTGCTTCCATATCTTGGCTATTGTAGTTAATATTTCTATGACTATTGGAGTGCTTATATCTTTGAATTAATGTTTATTTTCTTCAAATATAGGAGTAGAGTTGTTAGATCATATGGTAATTCTATTTTTAGTTTTATGAGGAACCTGCATACTGTTTTCCACAGTGGTTGCAACAATATACATTTCCACCAACAGTGTACAAGGGTTCCCCTTTCTTCACATCCTTGTCAGCGTTTGTTATTTGTGGTCTTTTTGATGATAGCCATTCTGAAAAGTGTGGGGTGATATCTCATCTTGGTTTTGATTTGTGTTTCTCTGATGAGTAACAATGTTGAGCATTTTTCATGTGCCTGTTGGCCATCTATATGTCTTCTTTAGAAAAATGTCTTTTCAGATTTTATGCTCATTTTTAAATTGTTTGTGTGTGTGTGTGTGTGTGTTTAGTTGAGTGAGCTGTTGATATAGTTTGGATATTAACCCCTCATAAGTCATATCATTTGCAAGTATTTGTCAGTGGTTTACTTTGCTTTGCAAAAGCTTTTCAGTTTAATTAGGTCCCATTTGTATATTTTTGCTTTTATTTCCTTTGCCTTAGACAGATCCAGGAAAAATATTGTTAGTTTATGTCTAAGAGTGTTCTGCCTATGTTTTCCTCTAGGAGTTTTATAGTATCTGATCTTACATTTAGGTCTTTATTCCATTTTGAGTTTATTTTTGGATATGGTGTTAGAGAATGTTCTAACGGCATTCTTTTACGTGTAGCTGTCCAGTTTTCAGCGCCACTTATTAAGAGACAGCCTCTTCTCTGTTGTATACTCTTGCCTCCTTTATTGTAGATTAATTGACCATAAGTGTGTGGGTTTATTTCTGGTCTCTCTGTTCTGTTCTATTGATCTATATGTTTTTACGCCAGTACCATTCTGTTTTGATTACTGAAGCTTCATAGTAGTCTGAAGTCATGGAGTGTGATTCCTCCAGCTCTGTTCTTTCTGAATATTGTTTTGACTATTCAGGGTCTTTTGTATCTCCATACAAGTTTTGAAGTTATTTGTTCTAGTTCTGTGAAAAATGCCATTGGTATTTTAATAGAGATTGCAGATTGCCTTGGGCAGTATGGCCATTTTAATATTAATTCTTCCAATCTATGGACATGGTCTATCTTTCCATCTGCATCATGTTCAATTTCTTTCAGTATCATAGTTTTCTGACTACACTTTTGCTTCCTTAAGTAGGTTTATTCCTAGATATTTTATTCTTTTTGATGCGATTGTAAATGGGATGTTTCCTTAGTTTCTCTTTCCACTAGTACATTGTTAGTGTATAGAAATGCAACAGATTTCTGTATATCAATCTTGTATCCTGCATCTTTTAACAGATTCATTGATGAGCTCTAGTAGTTTTTTGGTGGCATCTTTAGGGCTTTCTATGTACAGTATCATCTGCAAACAGTGACAGTTTTACTTCTTTATTTCCAATTTGGATTCATTTTTTTCTTCTGATTACTATGGCTTGGACTCCCAAAACTATGTTGAATAAAAGCAGTGAGAGTGGGCATTCTTGTCTTGCTCCTGATCTTAGAGGAAATACTTTCAGCTTTTCCCCATTAAATGTGATGTTAGCTGTGAACTTGTCATACATGACCTTTATTATGTTGAAGTATGTTCTGTCTATACCCACTTTCTGGAGTTATCATAAATGTTGAATTTTATCAGACTTTTCCTGCATCTATTGAGATGATCATACGGTTTTTCTTCAGTGTGTTAAAGTGGTATATCACATTGATGATTTGTGGATATTGAAAAGTCCTTGCATCCCTGGAGTAAATCCACTTGATCATGGTGTGTAATCCTTTCAATGCATTGTTGGAGTCAACTTGCTAGTATTTTGTTGAGGATTTTTGCATTTATATTCATAAGTGATATTGGCCTGTAATTTTCTTTTGTGATGTCTTTGATTTTGGTATCAGGGTGATAGTGGCCTCATAGAGAAGAGTTAACACTTATCCTTCTCAAACTATTTCAAAGAACTGCAGAGGAAGGAACACTTCCAAACTCACTCTAAATGCTTGGTAGAATTCACCTGTGAGGCTATCTGGTCCTAGACTTTCGTTTGTTGGGAGTTTTTTAAATTATTGATTCAATTTCATTACTGATAATTGGTCTGTTCATATTTTCTGTTTCTTACTGGTTCATTCATTCTTTGGAATTGTACATTGCTAGGAATTTGTCCATTTATTCTAGGTTGTCCGTTTCATTGGCATAGAGTTGTTCATGGTAGTCTCTTGTGATCTTTTGTATTTCTGTGGTGTCAGTTGTAACTTTTATTCATTTCTGACTTTATTGCTGAGTCTGACTAAAGGTTTATTAATTTTATTTATCTTTTCAAAAAACCAGCTCTTAGTTTCATTAATCTTTTCTATTTTGTCTATTTCATTTATTTCTGCTCTGATCTTTATGATTCTTTTCTTCTAATAACTTTGGGCTTTGCTTTTTCTTTTTCTAGCTCCTTTAGGTATAAGGTTAGGTTGTTTGAGATTTTTTTTGTTTGTTTCCTTCAATAAGCTTGTATCGCTATAAACTGCCGTCCTAGAACTGCTTTTGTTGCATCCCATAGATTTTAGATCATTGTGTTTTTGTTTTCATTTGTCTCCAGGTATATTTATATATTTTGATTTCCTCAGTGACCCATTGGTTGTTTAGTAGCATATTGTTTTGCTTCATGTGTTTGTGTGTTTTGCATTTTTCTTGTAGTTGATTTCTGGTCTCATAGCTCTATGGTCAGAAAAGATTCTTTGTGATTTCAGTTTTCTTAAATTTACTGATGCTTGTCTTGTGGCCTATCATTCTGCTGGTTTTGGATGAAGTGTTCTATATATCTCTTAAGTCCATTTAAGGCCACCGTTTTCTTACTGATTTTCTGTCTGGATGATGTGTCCAGTGATGTAAGTGGGGAGTTAAAATTCCATATTGTGTTACTGTCAATTGTCAATTTCTCCTTTAATGTCTGTTAATATTTGCTTTATGTATTTAGGTACTCCTATGTTGGGTGCATATATATGTACAGTTGTTATATCTTTGTGGCTTGATCTCTTGATTATGTTATGTCCTTGTCTCTTGGAACAGTATTTTTTTAAATTCTATTTTGTCTGATATGTATTGTTACCCTAGCTTCCCCCTGACTTTTTTTTTAATGTTTTAAGGTTTTTATTAAAGTATATAGTTGATTTACAGTGTTGTGTTACTTTCTGGTGTACATAAAGGTGATTCAGCTGTATATACTTATTAATTTTTATATTCTTTTCTGTTATGATTTATTGAAGGATATTGAATGTAGTTCTCTGTGCTATACAGTAGGACTTTGTTCATCTATTTTGTATATAGTAGTTTGTATCTGCTAATCCCAAACTCCTAGTTTATCCCTTTCCTACCCCTCTCCCCTTTGATAACCATGTTTATTTTCTTTGTGAGTCTTGTTCTGTAAAACCTTGCCTTTTAAAATATCCAGATAACCCATTGATTATTTCCTCTAGTAAATTACTTGCAATGGTAGAAGGACATCCTCTTTCCCTGGACACATTCCCCATTTGCCCTGTGACCTTGCTGCCCATCCTATCAAGAGATGGAGTCTTTCTCCTCCCCTTAAATCTGGTTCCTATGAATTTCTTTGCCCAGGAGAATGTGGTAGAGTGACATTGTATGTTTTGGAGACAAGGCCTCCGGAAGCCCTGCAGCTTCCTGTCTTGTCCATTGGCATGCTGCTCTAAGATGACCAGGGAAAGTAGCCTAGAGGAGGATGAGAGGCCATCTGGACAAGAACTGAGGCTCCACTTGACAGACTCCATGTGAATGGAAATCAAAAGAAAGCCATGATATCTTTTTCCATCCCCTCACTTTGAAGTGAATCTCTTAGTAGTTTAGATGCAGGTCTTGTTTGTGTATCCACTCAGCTACTGTATATCTTTTGATGAAAAGTAAATGGGCTAAGTGTTCCAAAGCAATTGATATGTATATTTCTATTGCCATCTTAATTGTTTGGGGGTTGTTTTTGTTCTCTGGTGATTTGTTCTTTTGTTCTCTTGTGATTTGATGACTGTCTTTAATGTTATGTTTGGATTCTTTTGTGTGTGTGTATCTATTATATATTCTTGGTTCGTGGCTACCCTGAGGTGTGTATATAGTTATTTTAAGTTGCTGATCTCTTTAATGTCAAACGCATTTTTACAACCCTGCATTTGTACTCTCCTCCCATCATAATTACTGTTTGATATCATATTTCACATCTCTTGTTTTGCATATCCCTTAACTGTTTATTGTTGACATAAATAATTTTACCACTTCTGTCTCTAACTTTCCTACTAGCTTTGTGCATGGATGGTTTACTACCTTTACTAGGTATTTGCCTTTACCAATGAGCTTTTTTTTTTCCTTTTATTATTTTAATATTTCTAGTTGTGGCCTTTCATTTTTTTGCTTAGAGAAATCCATTTAACATTTTTTGTAAAGGTGGTTTGGTGATGCTGGACCCTTTTAGCTTTTGCTTGTCTGTAAAACTTTTGATTTCTCCATCAAATCTGAATGAGCGCCTTGCTGGGTAGAATATTCTTGGTGTTGGTTTTTCCCCTTCATCACTTTAAATATATTGTACCACAAGCAAGAGAGCATCAAGTGAGATGAGAAGGGGGCCTAGGAATGTGCCTTGAGCCCTCCCAACACCTACCGGCTGAGTGGAAGAAGATGAACCCACCAAGGAGACTGAGAAGGAGTAGCAAGAAGGGCAGCAGAAGAGTGCTGTGTTTCAGAAGCCAAGAGGGGAGCGTGCTTTGAGGAGGATGCTGTGGTTATGGGTGTTGAATCCTTCTCAGAGGCCCAGAAAGCTAAGGCTTGAGAAATGTCCACTGATGAATTACAAAATGTCTCAAATCTGCTCCTTCCCTCTTCCTCCCTTCTCTGGAATGTGAATTATTGTTACCTCTTAAAAAGAGTTCAGGGAGATAGGGTGTCACTTCTTAATCACCAGATGTAGTCATTCCAGAAATAAAGGACGTGGGTACACTCTGGCCATCGTTCTCTAAGCACTAAGCAGTCTGTTCCGCAGCCAGTGCTCGGGCTGAGTCTTCACTGACAGGAAGCCTGACGGACAGCTTATGGGCGCTACAGAAAGATCTCTGTGCCTTAACACATTTACAAGGAGTTGTAATCTATTTGATAACACTTTGTGGAGCATTGCACTGCCTGTGCTTACTAAGCTCTATGTTAAGAATTGGGTGTTTTCTGGGAGGGGAGGGTATAGTTCAGGGGTAGAGTGTGCTTAGCATGTATAAAGGTCCTGGGTTCAATCCCCAGTACCTCCACGAAAAAATTAACCTAGTTACCTTCCAAGAAAAATGTTTAAAATGTGCAAAATCAATAAACGCTAAAAAAAAAAATGAATTGGGTGTTTCAGAGAAGACAACAGTCCATGAGATAGAACACAGACAAACATAAAAGCACATACAGAGCAAAACAAGAGACACAGAATTATAGTCCCACCTCCTCTCTGGCACTTGTTTCAGTTTTCTAGGATTTGGTCCCTGGAGCCCCTCAGGCCTCTTTGCCTGGGTCCCTACTGCACCCTCCCTTGCCACACTACCTTGGACTTGCCCAGCACCCACTAGATTTCAGTTTAGACATCAGTTCTTCCATGAACTGACTTGCAAGTCTGCTGAGGAGTCTTCCCAGGTGCCCAAGTAACGTCAGCTTCTGTCACCTATGTGCCTGTTTGCTGATCTTCCTGACTAAATGGCAAGTCTTAAAACGCTGGACGTTGTTTATCTTGTTTACTAATACAGGTCTTTGACAATTTGCAGCCCCAGCACCTAGCACGTAGTAGGGGCTCTATAAAGATGTATGAAGTGAGCAAGTGAATAAAGGCCTGGGTAAATAAGTCAGAAGCGCCTGTAAGTACTGACAAGCCTCAGTGCAGAGGGGGCTAACCTGAGCTGTGTGGAGGAGCCAGAAGGGCTTGTTGGAAGGTGAAATTCTGTGCATGCTTTTGGAGGCAGATGGACCCAGATTAGCAGGGGCCAGC